TGAGTCTTTATATTTTTCTAGTTTTTTATTTTGACTTGTAGGATTGTTAGTTTCCTTTGTGGTTACCTTAATATTTACCCCTATTTTTCTAAGTTTATACTAGTCTTTTATTTCTTTATATTGCCTTGACTTCCTCTCCATACGAAAAATCTGTGTCTACATTTTTGTAAGTCCCTCATTTTTGTTTTAATGTTGTCATCTTTTACATATTGACATCTGTTTCCCTATTTTCAGTGTTTTAACTTTGATTTCCTTTTGTGACTTCCCTGTCTGGGTTGATATCTGGTTGCTCTGTCCTGTGTTCTAGTCTTGGGTTGTTATCTGATGTTACCGATTTTCTAACCGGTATTTCTTGTAATTTTGGTTTGTTTTTTGCAAATTCCCTAAACTTCTGTTTATCTGGAAATGCCCTAGTTTCGCCATCATATTTGAGAGACAGTTTTGCTGGATATATAATTCTTGGCTGGCAGTTGTTTTCCTTCAAGGCTTTATATATGTCATCTCCTTGCCTGCTGGCCTGCATGGTTTCTGCTGAATACTCTGAGCTTATTCTTAGTGACTCTCCTTTGTAGATGACTTTTCGTTTATCCCTAGCCATTCTTAAAATTCTCTCTTTATCTTTGGTTTTAGCAAGTTTGATTATAATATGTCTTGGTGACTTTCTTTTGGGAGCTACCTTATGTGGGGTTCAATGAGCATCTTGGATAGATACCTTGTCATCTTTCACAGTATCAGGGAAGTTTTCTGCCAACAAATCTTCAACAATTTTCTCTGTATTTTCTGTTATCCCCCCTGTTCTGGTACTCCAATCACTCATAGGTTATTCCTCTTGATAAAGTCCCCCATATTTCTTAGGGTTTCTTCATTTTTTTAAATCCTTTTATCTAATTTTTCCTTAGATAAGTTGGTGTCAAGTGCTTTATCTTCAGTCTCACTAATTCTGACTTCCATTGCCTCAATTCTGCTCCTATGACTTACTATTGTGTTGTCTAATTCTGAAATTTTATTGTTGATCTTCTGGATTTCTGATTGCTGTCTCTCTGTGGATTCTTGCAGCCTGTTAAATTTGTCATTATGCTCTTCTCTAATCTTTTTAATTTCTTCTATTGCATGTTCTGCATTGTGCTTAATTTCCTTCCTAATTTCTTGAAGACTTCTGTATATTAAGCTTTTGTATTCTGTCTCCGTTAATTCCAAGAAATTTTCCTCCTCTGGAAAATTTGTAGATTCTTTATTTTGGGAGCTTGCTGAAGCCATCACGGATTGCCTCTTTATGTGCTTTGATAGACTGTTGTCTCCGAGGCATCAATAAGTTATTATATTTATTTATTTTATGTTTGCTTACTGAGTCCTAGCTTCTTGTTTTGTTTTGATGTGCCCAAATAGGCTTCTTGTATGAGCTAGTTTGATTATTGGCACCTTTGAAGCTCTAATGTCCTGTCACCAGGTGGTTAGATCTGTTACTAGGTATGTGAGCTCAGGACTCTGCTCACTCCTCCTGTATGGATTCAGCTCAGGTGTCCAGGTAGATAGCCACCAAGTGTGTGGTGTAGCCTCTCATTTACAGTCGTAGACAGGCATGGGTGATTGGTGTAGGCACAGGCATCTGGCTGCAGCAGGGGGACACACTCTTAGCAAGGCAGGGGGCTGACAGTCACCCCTGAGTGTCCAGGAGGAAGGCATGTCCCTGTTCCCTAGAGCACATAGTTGAGTGGGTTTTGCAGCTGGACTATAAGCACCTAATGCTGTTGGCTGTAAGGACTGGAGGGCACCTCTCACTCATAGGCCCCTATCACAGGTGGCTAGTTGGTATGGGTGGAGCCACCAGTCCTCAGACCCTGATGTGGGTACGTGAAGACGCTGCTTAATGGGCAAAGTGGCATCAAATGTCAGGAACCTGCCACTTCACAGCTGAAACAGTTGAAGTTAGACTTCTGGTATATACCCTGTTGTACTGCGGTAAGGAGGGCCTACACTGTTGAGATGGGCCCACACAAGTCTATGCAGGGGTAAAGGCACTCAAAGTCCATGGATCCCTTTTGCCTGTGCCTAGGCAGAGGAGCTGTGCCTACCCTTAGTTCCTGGCTTAGGGGAGTCGGCAGTTTATTTTTTCCTGTTTGTTAATTTGTTCACTCTCCAAGGCAGGGAGAATGGCTCCAGGCGTGTGACAGATCCTACTTCTGGCCCAAGGGACTCGGCAATTGCTGAAGCTGGTCCGGGACCCAGTGCAGAGCAGGGAGTGGGGAGGTAAATAGGAGAGAGGTTTTCCCCTAAGGGGGGTGTTTTTGATCTGCGCGTTAGGCCGTACACAAGTACTTGTCTTTCACTAATGAGGGCTGCTTCTCACTGGTTCTGAGTAGCCGTGTAAACTCTATGGAGCCGGATCTCTCCCGGTGTGGAAAACGCACCTCCCAAGGACCGCTGCTTGCCTGCCTCACCACTCACCCCCTAGCTGATCAGACCTGAAGGGCTCAGGCTCTCGCTGGCTCAGGTCTGGCAACTCCTCACTGCTTCTGAACCATCTCTCTCTCCCCCTACCACTCAGTCTGGTTTCTCAACTCTCCCTTTGATGTTCAGGGCTCCCAGATTGCCATATATAATCAAATCACTTGTTTTCTGGGGTCTTTGTTGTAAGAGGGTCCACCGGAAGCGTCTGACTACTCCGCCCTTTTGGCCCTGCCTCTTATACTACCTTTCTTGAGCCACTGTGAATTCATTTGCCAAGGTTAGGTTCTGTTTCTTGTGAGAAGGAACCAGAAATCAATCTCCTTTAAATTAGAGCTTTTTAAAATAAACTGAAAGGCACAAAGAGTTCTAGTTAGAAGAAAAAACAACTTACAGTCATGAGGTCACCCACTTTACCCATTTTGTTCCAGGATGGAGAAATGGTGCTTCTGGATGGTGGTTGTGAGTCTAACTGCTACGTGAGTGACATCACCCGCACCTGGCCTGTCAACGGCAGGTAGGTCTTCTACAGAGTAACATGTCCCCTTGCTTCTTAGGAGTGTGGGTTGGAATATGGATATACTTGGAATAAATGACTAAAGAAATATCCAAGTCCCCTCTAGGTCAGTCAGGTTAGCTGCCTTTGCAAATGCCCTGAGTATTTTTCTGAGATTGTTTTGCTCATCATATCACAGGATCAGGCACTGAGAAACAGCCAGTTAGCATACATACACCCACAAGTGTGCGCACACAGACACATACACGCGCACAGACACATACACTCACACACACTTTTTTTAATGATTTTGAAGTTCATTTTTCTCTGATTACAAAAGTAATATTTGGGTTATGGTAAAGTAGCTTGTTGGATTAACCATCCACAGATAATAATCATAAAATCTAGACAAAATACTAAAATCAACTATTTGAAGGTACCAGAGAGTTTCCAAAAAGAGGCATAAACTGGACAAGTCTATTCTTTAAAGAACTCTAATGAGTAAGATTTAAATGGTTAGGGCTTTTTGCCTGAGGACACTCTCAGATCCACAGAGCTCAGGCACAGAAAGCCACAGCCTTCTTGGCTTTGGATACAGGCAGTGCCCGGGTTATGAATATCAGACTTACGTACAACCCGTAGTTTCGAACTAACCCCCGTCAAGCCTCTTATATTAAAAATTTGACATACATACAAGGGTTCATGATATTAAATGGGCGCTACTTTGCAACAGGCATCAAAACATTGTTATTATTACTGTATTATTATGTTAAAGATGTTTTAGTGTATCTACAAGTGTTTCTTTAATGTTTTTTATGTACAGAAAGGTACACTATATACTAAGCCAAACATTTGACTGACGTTAGATATGAACCATACCTAACTGTTCTGATTTACATACAAATTTGACTTAAAGACAGATCTAGGAACAGAACTCATTCGTTATCCAGGGACTGCCTGTACTTTATGCCAGAAGCAAATAGAGTAACATACTGAAGATGCTCAAAAAAAGAAGATATGAACCAAAGATTTTATATGCAGCAAAACCACTCTCAAGTAGAAAAGGCACAAATTGTTATCAACATGTAAGAACTCAAGAAATATGAATCCTTCAAGAGGCATCTACTAGCTGTGCTGTCCAATATGATAGCCACTAGTCACACGTGGCTATTTAAATTTAAGTGAATTAAAATTGAATCATATTTAAAATTTTGTTCTTCGGTTTCACTGGCCACAATTCCAATAGTCACGTGTCAGTATTAGCTACTATATCAGACAACGCAGGTACAGAGCATTTCCGTCATCACAGAAAGGTTTATTGAACAGTCCTGTACTAGAGAATGAGTTTCAGGCAACCAAAATGACTAAAGATACACTGATCCAAGAACTAGTGGTGAACATTAAACACACAGTTAATTGTAGAACTAAGACTAGATGAGGGCTAAGAGGAAGCGAGTATTGTATGTAATGGCTATATGATAATGTAGAATAGTACAACTGTTTTTTTAAAAGGACAATGAAAACAGCATATGTAAAACATAGTCTTAATCTTTTCAGTAATCATTTTGCTCATAGTAGTTATATTATTATTCTGAGGCTATTGTGTGTATGATATGAGATAAAACAAGCGAGTAACTGAGATATTTTCATTCTGTCATCCCTGTGTCCTTGAGAATCAGGATTCTCAGTATGGAAGAAAGAAGATAACAAAACAGAGATTAAGTAAAAACTCTGTAGCCTCAAATTTGAAATAGAAGTACCAACATGAGCTGTTTTTTCTCTACACTGTATGCTGCATACTAAGACAAAATACAAAATGGTTTTATCCCCCTTTCCCTAGTTCTGTCTACTGAAAAGACTAGAAATAAGGACCAACTTAGTAGCAATGAGTACACCTAGTGTCAAAATATAATTTCTCACTAAAAGAAGTGAGAGCTTCCTAGAGAATTGATTAATTCCAGATCTTGGTCAGGAAATTTACAAAAATGAGCCTGGAATGTCTCATAATACCAGATAGCAAGGAAATTATTGAAGACTACTAGGGTCATGGCAGAAAGGCTCAGACACCAACTTGAAGATATCCCACAGATCGAAGATAGGATAATTTAAGCTTCAGTAATAATAACTGCAGTGAATTTAGACCCATCAAATAAATTTAAATCCATGGGTTTATAATGTTTTTAAAAGAAAAAAAAATTGCTCATCTTCAGGGGATGATATGAACCAATTGATTATATTGAAAACTGGTAAATGAAGAATAAAACATTTAGCCACCTTTATTATATGAACTGTACCACTGGGTAACCAAATAGATTAGGGAAAGTATCTCTTTTAAAATATTCCAAGTAATAAATGAGGAAAGAAATTATAGAATTAGAATATTACCGTTTTGCAACCCCCATGAATGCATAAACAGCAGCTGCTAACATCACAAAAAGACATTTATACATTATGTGCCTCTTATAATTTGCCAAATACTTCATATAATCTAGTCAAAGGGATTGAATCTGAGTCTGATCCGTTCTCTGGATCCAGTGCCAATTTGCAGGAAATATAAAGGACAAAGGAGCATGTTGAACTGCACCAATGATACGCAATTATCAAAATCCAGACTGAGGTGAACTCTGCCGCTGTCAATCCTGTGTAGTCTCCACCCAGTCTCCAAGCCGCACCTGCCCCCGCCAGGAAGCGCACTCGCCATCCAACCATCTGCCTGCAGGGGCTCCCTTCCCTTCCCTTCCTTCCTCCCTGCTTGCCCACCCTCCCCCCACCACCACCCCAACATGGACTTTAAACTCTTCCAGGCCTGCCCTGCTTCCAACTCCGCCTCCACTCCCCCCACCCCCACTCCAGCTGCCTTTCCTACACTTTTCTTCCACCAGCTCCAATGCATCCAGGACGTTCGACAGCCGCCACCACCGGAGAAGCCTAGGTCTTGGGCCAGGGCCTCACCTGCAGGGTGCCCTGGCCTAGTAGAGCAGCGGCCTCGTGGAGCATCCCTCTTGGCAGCTGAGTGGCATATGCCTGGTCTCTGCCTGAAGTGAGCGCGGTGGGACGGGCAGCTGAAGATGGATGCCGGGAACCCCTCTCCCTGCCGCGCAAGGCCGAGGCTGATGCTGGACCCAGAGAGCTAGTGAGAGACGTATAGGATCTACAGTACTTAGCAAAGCACATCCACCCATTCTCCCATCAGGATTTCTGAACTCTATTATAACCTTATGGGACCACAGACGTTTATTGCCTGAACCTGTATATCACACAGCCTGGATTCATTAACAGAAAATGAAAAAGGATGGAGGAAGTACCTGTTGATTAGAAAAGACTTAAAAGAAATATCAAACTTAATTTAAAATGAGCAGGAAGAAAATTGCCTTGGGATGCACATTTGGGTGATAAAAATATTGTTTTAAACACAAAAAATGAAGAGTGACTGCTAATGGATAGGGGTGTTTGGGGACGGTAATGAAAATGTTCTGGGAAATTAGGTAGTGGTGATGGTTGCACAACTCTGTAAATACACGAAAAACCACTGAATTGTACTTTTTAAAGCCTAAGTTTTATGATACGTGAATTATGTCTCTCAATAAAAAATGATAAATACACCCAAAAAACCCACCAGATTACTGTAAAAGTTTTATGATAATGGTTACTTAATTGGGAGGATTATAATTGAGATGAGACGTGGGAGAGGGCTTCTTAGATAGTTGGCCTAGTTCTCTATTTTACCTGACTGTTGTTCACATTATAATAATTTCTCAAGGTATATATTTGGCTTTCTTTATCTGTGTTTTACAATAAGAAGAATTTCTAAAAGAAAACTAAATGGAGATTCTAAAGGCAAAAAGTATAATAACTCAAATGCATAATTCACTAGATGACCTTAACAGCAGATTGCATACAGCAAAAGAATCAGTGAATTTGAAGACAGATAAAAATTATCCAGTCTGAAAAACAGAAATATATTGTAGAAAAAGTAACAAAGCCTCAGGGACCTATGCGAATTTTCAAGCAATTAAACATATACTGGAGTCCCGGAAGTTGACAGAGAAAATGGGGCGGAAAAAAACACTTAAAGAAATAATGGCCAAAAACTTCCCAAATGTGGTGAAAGGCATCAACATGTGGATCCAGTGTATGCCTAGGCAGGATAAATACAAAGAAATCCATTCCTAAGTAAATCATCTGCTGAATTCTCAAAAAAAAAAAAAAAAAAAAAGTCTAGATAGCAGCCAGAGAAGAACAACACATTACATATGATGTTGTTGTTGTTAGGTGCTGTTGAGTCAGTTCCAACCTATAGTGACCCTGTATACAACAGAACAAAACGCTGCCAGGTCCTGCACCATCCTCACAGTCGTTGCGCTTGAGCCCATTGTTGCAGCCTCTGTGTCAATCCATCTCCTTGAGGGTCTTCCTCTTTTTCTCTGACCCTCTACTTTACCAAGCATGATGTCCTTCTCCAGGGACTAATCCCTCCTGATAACATGTCCAAAGCGTATGAGACGTAGTCTCACCATCCTTGCTTCTAAGGAGTATTCTGGTTGTACTTCTTCCAAGACAGATTTGTTCGTTCTTTTGACAGTCCATGGTATGTTCAGTGTTCTTCGTTAACACTACAATTCAAAGGTGTCAGTTCTTCAGTCTTCCTTATTCATTGTCCAGCTTTCGCATGCATATGAGGTGATTGAAAACATGGCTTGGGTCACATGCACCTTAGTCTTCAAGGTGACATCTTTGCTTTTCAATACTTTAAAGAGATCTTTTGCAGCAGATTTGCCCAGTGCAATGCATTTTTTTATTTTTTGACTGCTGCTTCCATGGGTGTTGATTGGATCCAAGTAAAATGAAATCCTTGACAACTTCAGTCTTTTGTCCATTTATCATAATGTTGCTTATTGGTACAATTGTGACAATTTTTGTTTTCTTTATGTTGAGGTGTAATCCATACTGAAGGCTGTTGTCTTTGATCTTCATCAGTAAGTGCTTCAAGTCCTCTTCACTTTTCAGCAAGGAAGGTTGTG